CTCCACCTCCTGTGGCTCTTGCAGTCCTCCTGCCCCCTATTCTGCAATGATCCCTGAGCCTTGGGAGGCAGAAGTTTGATAGAGGTATCCTGTTCAGAGATTAGCGCTCTGCAATCTCCTTGTTCTCTGTACATTAGCCACTGTGGACATCTATATTAATAAGCATCTGCTTCATGATGAATCCTTTCTGGTGTTAGTTGAGAAATGCATTACTCTCACTCAGGATGATTTTTCTAGTTTGACCACACAATAGTCCTTCTTGTTACCCAGTACTAATGGTTTTTTTTTATCTTCTAGTTGAAAAGTGATAACTGTAAGATTTCACCCAAGAGGCAGCAAGTATAAATATTCAAATCGCCTCCCAAAAGTAGTATTGCACAATCTCCAATGTATATTTATTAAATAAAATATGTGAAATGACATAAAATTTTATTATGAAGCAAGAATTTCAGCAGGCATGTGAAATTCAAGCTTTTGTTGAGAAAAAAATATCATACATTGCAGCATTATGCTTATTTACAGATGACCCCCTCAAGTGAGCAGTAACTGATTGCAATACAGTAAAATGTAGTCTGCATGGAATAACTGCAAATCTCTGTGGCAGTTGGGACTTTAGACTTAACAAGGATAGGCCAAGCAGAAGCCATGTCTGTCTGCCTGCATGCAAAATCTGATCAAAGGAACCTTAAATGATAAGTGTTGTTGTTGTTGTTATAACTTGAAAAGGCAAAAAAATAATTGAAGTAGTAGTTCTATTTTGGTGAGAAAAATTTACTTGGATTCATGTCAAGAATGTGTTATTCTCTGTTTGAATAAAATTCTGTTAAGATTCTTTACCCCTCCTCTGTTCTTTTTGTAATCCAGAACTCTAACATATTTTCAGGTTTTTTGTTCTGTTTTGTTTTGCTTAATTTATATCTTTTGAAATTTAATTTTATTTTTATTTGATTTTTATACAATATAGTTTGATTGTATTTATCCCCATCCACACCTCCCCCCATTCCCCGCCCCCGCCCAATTTAATGTACTTGTATTTATGTGTATGTACAATATTGCTTATAGAGTCTGATTTATTTCCCCAAATGTCAGGTATTTTCTATAAAACCTCAATCTCTAGATTAAAATTTTTTTGAAAAGTACCTCAGTTCTCTTGCTGTGATAGTTTCCTTATTGCTCCTTTATATAGCAAAATACTCACTTGAATAAACAATGATGTTGATGTTACAAAAGATCATGTTTCTGTGACAATAAAGAGAATGTTTTAAAAAGCATGAAAAGAATTCAAATGCATACACAAATAAGATGTGAGGAAGTTCCTGGAATGTAGTATATGAAGTATCAATATTTATTGAACAAATATTAGGTAAGTTGTGCCATGAAAGAAAAGATGCACAATATATGGTTAATTTTTTTATAAAGTAAATTGGGAAAACCATATTGTAGCAGGATCTCATTTTGTAAAAAGCAGAGAGAGGGACACCGAGAAAGAATGAGAGACAGAGAAGAATAGGCATTTATATTCATATGTGTATATATGTGCACACAGAAAGGAAGCAATATTCTTGAATTCTAGAATTGTTATTAATAATTTTTCTTTATATAATTCTGAGCATTGCTTTGCATATGCTCCATTCCTGTCTATTCTAATACCACTCTTCCCAGTGTGTGAAACAGACATGTGCTCTTTCATATATTTTTCTACATGTACATCCACATACTAAATATAAGTAAGGGTAGAGGGACTTTGAAAATAAGTTTTTAATATATACATTTCCACATATCATAGGTTTGTAACCGATTTATTTTAGTAACTATGTCTTAAGCATCATAAAATGCAAGTACACAAAAATTGCACCCTTTTCATGTGCTGCAGTAGGAAATCTATGTAAACAATTGTTATCAATGAATATTTATTGTTTCCAGGTTTGTGTTTATTTCAAACAATTATTAAATAAATCTGTCATATGACCCTTCTGTTCACATTAATATCTGTAATAAATTCTTAGAGATTGAATGCCTGGGTTAGACGATATATATATTTTAGATTTTGATAGTCACAATAATACTTCTAAAAAATTGCATTGCTCTTATATTAATAACTGAATAGTATTAGTCTTTCAGTTTTGGCCTAATTATCTGATGTCTCACGGCCCAAAATCATATCGTGCTGCTTTAATTTTTATTTCCTTGTTTCCTATGCATCTGGGCATGTTTACTGATGCTTTTGAATTACCTCTTTGGTGGTTTCTCAATTCGTATTTTGCTACTCTTATGATTTTTATCGGTTATTTTTAATACTCTGCATATTATTATTGGTTAAATTCCTTGCAAATATGCTTACCTGAGAGACTTTTAACTTGCTTATGGTGTGGTTTATTTTCCCCCAATGTTTTATATTAATGTTAAACCATTCAATATTTTTCTTTATAGCTCAAATTCGCACATTGTTTTGGAAAGTCTCCAACAAGTCTTGTCCGATGTGCTTCTACAGTGCCATTGAAGACTTGTGTTTAACCTTTAGCTCTTTAATCTTCCTGAAATTTATTTGTAAGAATTATATGATATGGAAAACAACCATAATTTGTACACATGAATATCCAATTTCCCTTATGCCATTTATTGACAAGTTCAACTTTCACACTATTTTGAAGTATTGCCATTATCAAATATTTAGTTTTTATATATGCAAAACTTTCTCTGGGCATTTTATTCAACATCATTGTGATTTTTTCTCTTCATGTACACATGAACATATTTTAATTATCATAACTTTTATAACATGTTTTGATGCCTGATAGATTCAGCTACGTCTCTTTCTTCTTCCAAAGTTTTCTCACCATTCTTCTCCTTTTGCTCTTTGATAAACATTTAGAATCCCCTTGTCAAATTTCACACACAACTGGATACAAACATGCACAGAATTCTTATTATTTCATCAGAATTCCATAAAATTCTATTCTGTTTTCCTATCCATGAACATGGTCCCTCATAGTTTTTATTAAATTCCTATTATGGTTTTCAATGATACACAATTTTGATCAGAGACTAATAATGTCCACCAAATGTCCGTGTTTACCTCTACATTTCTCATCCTCCTTTGCAGATAAATTAGGGTGGTTGGGCAGTTAAGAGCCAACTTGCCTCCTCTATTTATTTCACCCCTTCCATAACTAATAGCTTACATATTCCAGATGGCCTTGCAACAAATTTGAAGCTTCCAGGAATCCTGAGTCATGTCTTGACTCAGGATTGAGTTAAAAGCTATGGCAGAGACCCATCTGGCTCACATTAACTGTAATTGGAGCAAGATATAAATCTGTGTTGTGTTACAATCTGGAGATTTCAGGGGTTATGTGTTTACCACCACACAGTGTAACATTGCACTGATTCAAGGTCTTGGCCATATTTGATTTATTACTAGGTTATCTTAAATTCTTATTTCCTGATAATTTCAGAGTGTATAGTACCAAAATTAATTTTATATACTGATCTTGTATTTAACACCCTTGTTAAACTATCATATTAATATTTATCCATACATTATTATCAGTTTTCTTGAAGATAATCATAAAAGCCGTGATAGATGACATTTTTATGTCTTCCTTTTTAGTCCTATACTTTTTATTTATTTTAATTTTGTCTTATTGAATCGCCTAAGACTTTTATTACAATGCCAACTGGAATGTTGATACTAGACACATTTTTCTTCCTAGCTGTGAAAAAGGAAAGATGAAAACATTCTACCATTGGACTTAATTTTTTGTAAATTATTTTAGATATCATTTCTTAGATTAATAAAGTTGACTTATATCCAGGCTCCAGTGAATGGATCCACACTGAAGGATATTTAGGGACACAAATTAGACAATACAGACCTTATTATATATGAAATAGAGTACATTAAATTGGGTGGGAGTCAATAAACGGAGGTGCAGATAGGAAAGGGGATCTAAATAGCATCAAATTACATTGCATGAAAACTGAAAATATTCAATTAAAAATTTTAAAGTGAGGTGGAGAGTAATAAAGGACAATATTCAAAGTCAAAAACAAAAAGTTGGTTTTTGTTTTTAGTTTCTTAAAAGCTTTTATATAAATTGTAGATAATTTTTCTGCATTTATTTATTAATTTTTAAATTGTAGGCCAGATACTGATTATATTTAATTCTTTTCACTTTTTGATATAATAAATCATAATAATATTGAAATATTTTAACATCCTCAAATTTCTCTTGATGGTATACATGGCTCTGACTCTGGGTTCATTGAAAGCATACTTACTACCAGTGAAACTTATATAACATAGTATTTCAATAAGCATTGGATGATTGAATCAATGATAATAATGTTTTACTCACACTCCTTATTTTTATTTAATAACATCTTTCATTATTCAGATATTGGTAAGGTTTCAAATGCGAGAATCTTACAAAAATATTTCCAAAGTATTATTTGAATTAAAAATAAGGCAAATAAGGTTGGAGCGATGACTCAGTGGCTAAAAAGCACTGACTCCTCTTGTGAAGGGCCTGCACCCACATGATGACTAACTGCTGTCCCTCACTCTGGTTCAAGGGGATCCAGTGTCCTCTTCTGACCTGCATGGGCATTGCACAGTATGGGTGCACTTACATACGTACAGGCAGTACACTCATACAAATAAAGTAAAAATAATAGAAAAGTAAATAATTTCACACAACCCCAAAATTATATCATACTTCTTTCCACAACAAGAGCAAAGGAAAATTATTTAGTGATTAAAAGATATCAATATCTCATATGCTTTATGTCTTTGCCTCATTTATTAAATATAATTTTAGATACTCTCAATATTTTACTTATGAGAAGCAATATGTCGTGAGACCAACCAAGATTCCACAATCAGTCTCAGTCTCAGGCTTGAAAGCTGTCTCATGTCCAAAGTTGTGTGTCTTTGAGCAAATTCAGATCTTTGCAGTAGTTTCCCTTTTAAAAAAACAGAGATAATGATACTTGCTTAAATAGTTACCATGTAGAAAATATATCCCCATCACAAAAGTGTTTGTTTCCCATGTGAGGCTCACACATTGCACTGTAGTTGTCTTGGCCCATGAGGTTTCCCCAAATGCAGGAAACTCAGTTGCATAATTTTCAGTAGAAAGAAAAAAACAGGAATCTTGCTTTTTTAATGCTGCTATTACTTTATTAAGTAATGGCAAATGATTAATATGTGGTATCTGATACACTGTAAACATTAAATAAGTATTCCAAAATGAATACACCTTTCTTCCTCAGAAAATTTTGTCAAGAATTCTAAATGTAGGAAGTTGATGAATGAAGTGCTCCCAGCTCCCAAAACCTCAATTTTCTGCATGTCTGTCATCAGTAGGTGATAGGTTGTTCCCATTTAGAAATACATTATTAATGTCACCCAAAATAACAATAGATTAGATTTATGTTATTGGGCTATCTTCTCACGTTTAGAGCTGGTAGTCTCTCATAAGTATCTCAACTGTATTTTGAAACATTTATATAACTAAACTATACATGAACATTGTTCAGAATTTGATCAACTTATTCTCCATTTTCCTCCAAATGAAATACTTTAATAATTGCTTTAATCTACCATAAGTTCAAACATACTCTCTTTCCCTTCCTCTGTCTTTCTCGTTTTCTCTCTCCTGTCTCTCTCCCCTCTATCATTTTTCTTTGAAGGATTCTAATTGACATTTTGAGGCACAGAACTTGATATTCTTAATTTGTATGGAATTTTAATGTTCTATTATGTCAATTTTTCCCCAAGATTTTTCATAAGAATAGGGCACAAGACTAGGCAGTGTTCATAAAGTATTCATAAAGAAGATGAAGAAAAAAGAGGAGACTGTGAAAGAGGAGAAGAAAAAGGAAAAGAAGGAAAAAGGATTCCAGTTAAGTCACCCAAGTTTAACATGTTCCTGTCATTTTCTTGTCACCTGTAAAATCAGTGAGGTTAAAGTGATATACTAAAATAAAGTCATCTATCCTCTGAGTTTTTTAAATTATTGGAGCCATTTCTAAACAAACGAAATTAAATTAGGAAATTTGTGATATGCTAATCACTTGGAAAATACCTTTGATATTCCTTAATCAATGGCCTTATAAAGTAAATTTCCTAGCACAGTGTTTGTGAGTTGGCCAGAATCCAATCTATGTTGAGTTTAATTGACTGAAATAGACTTATTAAACTTTTAATTTACATATAGTATAATCACCATTGGGAAATTTACTACTATTCTATATCCCCTGATAATTTTCAAAATAGATCAATAAACTAAAATAGTCACTGAAATGTTGCTTTTACCTAAAGTAAGAGAACCTTTAATTGAAAATGCTCCCAAATGACAGGTCCAAAGACATTTTTTTAAAAATCAGAAACAGTGGAATAGAGACAATCTCTGTCCTCAAACAGCTCAGTAGTCTGTAGGACAGAGAGATCTGTAAAATTAAGCAATGATACCTGTAGGTTTGCAGTTTCTAAGTAAAGGCAAGAATGTTATCATCTGAGATTTAAAAATCACACTCACACATTTGAGCTCATTGAGAAAAGAGAGCATGTTTCTGATACCTCACAGTGACTGACATATTTTCTTAAGTCTTGAGTTTGGTTTGTTTTAGAATAATACGTCTGCTTTTGTCAGTGTCTCTTCAGTCAGTTCCAGATTTCCCTTTATCTTGCGTCCTTCACTTGACTTTCTATAAAACAAAATCAGTTCACCAACGTCTTCTGAAGCAAAGTTACTCAGAAATCAAACTACACAGTTTATTTACTTTCTTGGAATGAGAAAAAGAAAAATGTGAACAGGCTATAAAAACAAACCGAAATTAAAATTTCAATAAATAAAAAAAATGGATCCTACTAAAGAAAAAACATTGCTACTACTAAAAAAGGTCTTTAGGGTTCTGTCTTATCTTTCTTCTTTACCTAAAGTAGATCAAAACTGTGTTGTTTTCTCTAAGTTACAAACACATTTGGAAGTTATTTAAATGCATTATGCATTATTAACTCAATTTAATACTTAAATTTTTACAGTAAAGAAGATTTTGTTAAAGATAATAGAAACACAATATTTATATTAGATATAGCTCAGTTTAAAAGTGTTATAACATGACAATTTTTTTTAGATAATCATGTAATTGTATGGCTAATAAAAATATCCCCTTTTAGATAAGGAACCAACTCATCGTTGATACACTTGCAATTATTATGTATAATTATAATTTGTAAAATATCAGGACACTATACATTTTCTAGCTAGGAAATGTCAACTTCCTCTGCTTCCTATATCTATCTCGGACTTTAGACAGAGAGAAGTTTGACTTAAAATTGACCCTTGGCAACGGTGCTTCCGAATGTCAACTTAAGTTTGCAGGATGAACCTAAGTAAAATTGGGCCAAAGGGTCAGGGACAGTGCATTACAAATGTGACTCATTCTGCTTTAACCTGCTTAGGGGTAGGTAAGATGTGCTTGCTGAAATGGGAGTTTTGTTTTCTGGATAATCTCAGTCTGAGAGGAGGGGAGAAGTCAGGGGAAATAGCTGACAAAAACAAATGCATACACCAAAAAACACCCAGCAAGCAAAGCAACTTCCTTAGAAGGGTAAATCTGTATATTGCTTTAAAAAGCCAGGTTTATCTTTTATTAAGTAGATGTTATGCCTTACCAGGATGAATGGCTAACACACTGAGCATATGCTGCCAAACCATTGGCTTAGCTGCTTTATATTATTTTTAAAATATTTTATTTAGTATTTTTATTTCATGTGTATGAGTGTGTTTCCTGCATGCATGTGAGTGCACCCGTGCCGTGCAATGCCGCAGAGGTCAGAATAGGCTGTCGGATCCCCTGGGACTGGAGCCAAGGACGGTTCATAGTCGCCATGTGGGTGCTAGGACTTGAACCCAGGTCCTCTGCAAGAGCAATCGGTGCTCTTAACCCCTGAGCCATCTCTCCAGCCCCCAAGGTGCTTGGTATTCTTACACAACCAGGGATACAGGAAGGATAATTGTTTCCACATGTAGAGATGAGAAAACTGAAGCATAATGTTATACATTATGTGATAAAGCTGAGATTTAAACTGAGACAATCTGATTTCAAAGCAGGACAGTTAAATCCATTTTTTAAAATCTAAAGGCATACTGGTGCAATCTTAGCCTCCTCCCTCCTGCTGTGCTTGCATTGCCTCCTTCCTTGTCAAGGAGTTCGGGGGCTTAGATTACAGAACAACAGCAGGAAAATGTTGATTTTGATGTGAATCTGTCTCATTTGAAGCACAACATACTGAATAATTTTGATGAGCTCAATTTCTGTAGAATTTTTACTCAACAGCTTTTGAGCTGAAATGCCATGCTAAACCATCTATAACCTCTCTATGGCAGTTTTCTTATTAGACTTCCATTAAGGGAAAGTAACACAGTTTAGATTTAGAATCATCTAGTCTAATAGTATAGACCACTGATAGGGCAGTTTATAGGCCATAGTTTTCACTAATGCAGAGAAGGAAATATACTACACTAACAGATAAATGAATGCCTAGTCTAATATTCCAACCAAACTAAATGAGTTCCACCCTAAGAAGGCTATCTTACCAACTAAAACTGGCCCTTTACAGGATAACGGTCTAGCAGACCCAGGTCATCTGCTAACAAGCGTATGAGAGTCATATTTTCCAAATCGCTCTGTAAACTCTAATCTCATATAATATGACAATAAAATGAAATCAATGGTGCTATTGTATCCTTAAACATATATCTCAGTATGCAACACAAATTATTTATCCTGTCTGATTTAATAATATAGACTGGTTGACAATACTCAGTGCAAACAGTCCATTCTGATATCTTCTGAGGAGAAGAATACCTGAGCCCAGGTACCTAAATGCTGCCAGAACAGTGATAAATGGCTAAATCACCTTCTTCTGACATGTGTAACAGCATTGATTCAACAGTGTGAAATATTGTTTAGTAGAGGAAACAGTGAGTGTTAATGATATGCTGTAAATATGTGCTGGGAAAAATGCTGAAGACAGGTGCAAACAATTTTCTGTGTGAAAAATCAAATATAGCTGTAATGATATGTGATGGAACAGCAGATGTTTTCCAGACCAAGTACCACTTCCATCACTAATGTTTTCCTTATTTTTTTTAAAGCCACTTTCATTGACCCACAGAAACACTGCTTTGTTTGGGTTTTAAAAACAGAGGTAATTAAAGCATAACACAAAATGACATTTTATGGAAATATGTTTTACTTCCGAATAAGATTTGCTGCAGAAGAAAAACTGCTTCCTTTTTTAATTAAGTCCAAATGCTAATGTTGTTGTATTCTTACTTTATGGCATGTTGTGGTTTCTTCTCTATGACCAAGTGATGAAAAAGATCGTGTTGTTTTAATATTAAAATTGTTCTAACTGTGAAATACATATTTTAGCATTTTCCAAAATTATTTTATGTACATATGACTTGAACATAAATGCTTATGAAAATGAATGATATTAAATCCCAGATATTTTTCAATTATTGGAAATATGCAAAGAAAGATTTCATGCCACAGGCATAAATGAATGGCTTTCATAAGTATTAATGTCTGTAAGATGGGGAATGAAGGGAAAATGGAGAGAAGCATTTAAATGTGCAAATAAGAAACTGCAGAGAACGAAGTATAATGATCCAAAACCCATTCACCAAGAAGGACGTATGGCTCACTGGCTGAAGAAAGCCTTTCCAGCTTACTGGAACTAGGGAAGCTAGGGAGGAGTCTTGCCTTTTAAAACCAGAAGCAATAGAGGGAGAAAACTGTACATTTTTGTTCCTTCTTTTCTAGAGTTGGGGTGTTCTGAGCAGGATATTATGGATTAATCTGAGGAACTATGGATGTAGATAGAGTTCTATCAAAATAGAGAAAAACTGGAGCCCTAGAGATGGTATAGTATGCTGTGGAAATTAAAACAACTGTATTTATACTGAAGGACATCTAGGTACAAATGCTTGACTGGACTGGACTTAACATGTATGGCAGAATACATGGGATCTGGTGGGCAGGGATAGGGGAGGCATGGATTGGTGAAGGGGTCTAAATTGGATTAAGAACTGTTGTATGATATTACAAAAGCTCAATAAAATATGTTAAATTTTAAAAAAGAAAATTTA